CAGGCGAATGCGGGCGTGTCCGAGGCGCCCCTCGGGGTTGGGGGACTCGGGGCGCTCTCGGGGACAAGCACGGGGAGCCACGCTGTGTGCGGCCGGAGGGGGGTGCGCAGACCCGGCAAGGCCCCGGGATTGGAGCGCCGAGTCCGGGACCACGGCCGCGTGGCCGAGACGGGTTCCTCCGCCCCCGAAGCCCCTCCCGTCACCTGCGAGCCGCGCACAGCAGCCCTCGGGGCGCGGCCGTCTCGCTCCTCCTCCTGACGGCCTTCCCCGCAGGCCGACGTCCCAGAGCCCGGCGTGACGCGTGACGCGTGACGCGGCCTCGCCTCCGGGCGGTGCGGCCGCGAGCAGCGGGCTGACTGACGCACAAGCGCGCATGTCACCGCGTCGGCCCGGCGGCGCCTGGAAAGCGTGCCGAGTCGCAGCGCGGGCGTGGCCAGGCCGACGCACCCACCACGCGCGGGTCTGCGTTCGCGCCCGTGCAGCTCGGACGCGGCTTCCGGAGTCACGCTGGCGCCCGGGTCCGTAGCGCAAACGGCCTCGCTGTGAGGAGACTGCGCTCAGGCCTCGGCCCGAGCCACGGGGGCGGGGGGAGAGCGCGGTCCCCGGCGACGGGGCGCAGACGGACGGTCCCGCGCCCTGCGTGCGTCCGCCCGGACGGGCGCGTCCTCCCCGCAGCCCCCGCGTCCCGTGCCCGCCGCCCCGGACGCCCCTGGGGGCCGGGGGCTCCGGCCTCTCAAGGCTGCAGCGGTGGAGGCCCGGCTGTGGGGGCGCCACGGCACCGGGGCCCGACCGCGCAGTGACCGGTGCCACCGCGGGAGAGCGAGCGAGCGAGCGCACGGCCCGGACGCGCCCTCAGGGGCTCTGTCGGCACTTGGCCGTGGCCGCCCGAGCCCCCAGGTTCTCCGCCGTCGCCGTCCCGTGTCGCAAACCTCCGGTCTCTGACGCGGTGGCGTACTTGGCCGAGTCAGAAAACGCTTCATCTGCGGCCAAAGAGGAACCGAGCCCTGGCCTCAGGGCGGGCGTCACTGTGGGGGCGCCAGAGAACGACCCGGGGCTCAGGGCCTCGCGAATCCCCGACCTGCCCCTGCCACCCCGTGCGGCTCTGGGGGCTGCACACAGCACGGCCTGGCTGTGTCTCCGTCACCCCACAGGGCCCGGTGTCTCCCCAAGCTGGGGGCCCAGGGGCGTAGGAGGGGTGTGTGGGGGGGCTGGGCCTGCAGCCAGCCCATGGCTCCATCGGCGGCAGCCACTTGCTCTGACACTCGTGGAGCACTGTCCCCACCGGGCCCTGGGGCCTTCACCCCCCCCCCCCCCCCCCCCCACGCCCACGCTGCGAACCGCCACGGGGACTCTGCTGTCACCCCAACCCCCCCAGCCCCAAGACTCCAGAAGCAGGATGGGAATCAGTCCTGCCCTAGCCTGCCCCTCCCCCGGGACCCCTGACATGATCATGACATCTGTGGGTACGGGGTTGGGGGGGGGGGCTCACGAGAACGAGGGGTGTGTGGACTAGAACCCACTCCCCAGACTGGGGCCCAGGCGCTGCTGTCCCCAGACAGGACAGGTCTGACATGATGGCCGAGGGAGGCAGCCCGCCCGTCCTCAGTGCAGACACCTGCTTCAGGCCCCCGTTCCCCTCTGGGGACTCTGCCTCCCAGGCTTGCCCTCCATCGACAGGCCAACTGCCCCCCCTGTGCCCCCCCCCCGGGGCCCCGCCCGGGGGCACCGCCCCCCCCGGGGGGGCGCCGCCGCCCCCGTCCCCGGCCCCCCCCCCCGCTCCCCCCCAGGGCTTGTCTCCCGCATTCTTAGGACCTGCTCACAAGGACGCTCTCTCTCCCTTCCTCGGCACCCCCCACACCCAGCCGTGTTTCAGGGTGCTGAACGAGTGTTATGTCAGAGGGAAGTCACATCCCCCTCAACACTGACTTTCAGTTTGTGCTGCGGCCCGAACGTGTGGCCTTGAGCCATTGTGTCTGCAGTGAAGCCACGAGGGGCCCACGTGGGGCGCAGCCGTCTCCAGGGTGGACTCGGCACCGAGGCGGCCACCGGGACCGAGTGGCGTGGGGGTGGGTGACCAGGAGCGGCCAGCAGGTGGGGGCGGGGCAGGGAGGCCGGGGCTCGAGGCCACAACGGGGACCGCTGGGGGCGTCCTGCTCCTGCGGGAAACAGGGTAAGATCCCTGCTGGTGACGTAGGTGTGCGCGAGCGCTGGGATCCAAGTTAAGAACGTCCAGTCGGAATGTCGCAGAAGCTGGCGAAGAGTGCGGACCATCCGAGGTTCCCAGCACCTCCCGTCTTCTGTCCGCCTTCAGGGCGAGGCCGGCACCCCCTTCTGGAGCATCACCGCCGGCCATCTGGCCCCTGGTGCTGGTGCCTTCGGGGCGTGCTCACTGGAAGCTCGAAGGTCTCAGTGGGCAGCATGAGAGGGTCGTCAGGGCTGCTGTCCCCGCCCGGCCGTTCCCCCTTCCAGTCCCACGTGTGTCCCACCAGGCCGGCCCTGCCTCCTGAAGACCAGTGCTGTCCCCGCCCGGGGCGGTCACCCGAGGACCCCACAGACGACCCTACCCGCCTGCAAGTCTGCTTCCCTTGGCTGGACCTCTCACGCCGGTGCCCACAGGCTCGGGCTCCGTCCAGGCCCTTCGGCGAGGGGCCAGGGAACCAGCCCTCGTCGGGCAGTTATCAGGCCTTAACCGCTTGTGGTGAAAAAGTCTCCATTTTGCCAATTTTAGAAAACCACGTAGCTGTGTGCTGATGGGGCCCAAAGCCGAACACTGGTGGGCGTCGTGGCCCCCCTGCTCCCGCATGGAAGAAACAGGCCAGTCTCCTCGGAGCGGCCAGGCCGCTGTGCCGGGGGCCGTCTCTAAGAGCCCCGGTCTCCCGGACGGACGCCCTCGTCCTTGGCCGGCCCGCTCTTCCCCTCTGCCCTCTGCCGAGTCTCAAAGCCCACACAGTGGTTCTGAGGCCGCTGGCCGTGGAGTGAGTTGGCTTCCTGCAGAAAAGACGTCTTGTACCCTGGATTCTGTCTCCCAGGGAGTTTGGGCCACGGGGCACAGGGTTCACAAAACCAAGGCGAAGGTTAGACACGCCCTCCGGACTCCTGGGTCCAGGTCGTCCATGCACTGTGGGTCCCCCACGACGGCAAGTCCCCTGCACTGGGCAGCCAGGCCCAACAAAACCACCGCCGGGTGCATGTCTACACGCGCACCCCCACAGGGTGGCGGCCGGGGCGGCTCCAGAATCCCCCCACCGCACCGCAGGGCAGGGGGTCAGGGCAAGCCCGGGCAGTTGGCCCGGGGATCTGCATCGAACAAGCCCTTGGGGTTTTGTGACCCTACACCTGCTAACTTGACCTCCGGCCTCCACTTTCCCGAGCCGCCTGCCCGTCCCTCAGCTCCGGGGCAAGCTGGGTGGGCTTCCCTTCCAGCCCCTCTGACAGTGGTGCGGAAGACGTGTGGGGGCCTTGCCCTGTGCCCCTGCCCAGCACACCCCTGGGGGCCACACGACCCTCCTCACCGAGTGGACACCCGTGGTCTCGGCGTGCGGCTGAATCGGCCCACTTGGCAGCCCCAAGCCGGCCCCGACCTGCCTTTTCTCACAAAGCAGCCATCCCTGCTAGTTAAGACCCCTCTTCCAGGAAAATGTCAGTTTTGCCTGGAAGACAAAGTCCCGACCTACACAAAAGGAGAAGCTGCTGTTCTGACTTTCCTGTCCGGCTGCTCTGGCCTCAGCTGTGTGTATGGCTTTCACTTCTTCCGGGTGGGCGGGCCGGGAGGGAGGGAGGCCACTACCAAGGCCCCTCTTGGCCTCTAATTGTGCCGCCCGCTTACCCCAACAGCCGGACCTCACCCGGTGGTTAACAGACACTTGGCATAATCTTCTCGTCTGCCCTCGGGGCCTGAGGAAGGACGGAAATAGAAGCCCTTGCAGGGTTCCAGTTCTCAGGGTCAGCCAGCGGTCCCCACAGCCCCACTGCCAAGGACACGGGGCCCTGGGCCCTGGCCGTCCTCAGGGTGATGGGAGAGGGACCTGGATGTGAGGCCCTGCCCGCCCCCCCCCACACCCAGGCCTGTGTCCCACGTGTGCGAGCCCACTGTGTCGCGTCCCCCCCCGCACGGCAGGGCCCGCCCCTCCTCGGAAGCCCAGGCAGCACAGCGTGCCTCCAGCGCCCTCTTGTGGCAGCCGGGGATAGACGCGGCGTCCCCCAGGGCCGCCCACCTCACCGTGTCCACCCGCCACGGCCGCCAACCCTCCTGGTGCCACCGGGGCACCTCCGCCCCACCCTGACGCTCACCTCACCCGACACCTTCTTTGTGCAACAGCAGATCAGTCTGCCGGGCTGAGCCCCGGTCCCCAAAAGTTTCCTTACCGCGAAGAAAAATAACGCCCGTAGATCTTAGATCAGGGTGGACCCAAGCCCATTTGTTGCTACAGGGACTGGTCTAGCGGGGTTTGGAAAATCACGGGGAGAAGCAACCCCAGGTGGCCCAGAGGCCTTCCGCCCGCTGGGCCCCGCTGGGCTTCCTCACGCTTCTGCCCCCGGTGGTCTTGGGCCTGGGTACTTCCCGCACGGGGGCCAGACGGGCAGCCTGGGACACCTGTCCCCCCGACCCTGGCCCTCACCGTATTCTGAATGCGCATGTGCCTGTCATCCCCACCTGCACCTGCCCAGGGCCGGCCCATCACCTACCTTGGTGATGTGTGTCTGATGAGGGAGATCGGTGACCACAGTGACCCTGGCCATCCCTCTTGGCCCATCCCCCATGGCAGCAACCTCTGACCACACGTGAAGGTGGCTAGAGCGGCCTCCTGCCCCAAGCAGATTTGGAAAATGTGGGCTCCACGGGGCATGAATGTTCCTACGTGTCCCCCAGTCCAGGCAGCACGAGGACACGGCGCGTGTGCACAGGACAAGCCCTCAGCGGCAGCGCACGCCCCCAGGTGGGTTAACCACTGCCCAGCCTCCTGGCTCAGCAGCGCCGGTTGGGCCAAGTGCAAATGGGAGACGTGTATTTAGGTCCTTTATTACACGTGCCAGTGTGCACACACCCAGATTTCCTTTCACAGAAAGGGTCAGGAAGCCCGGCCCGGGCAGCATCAGACTTGCCGTGTGCATGCGTGCGTGCACACACGGACCCACACACGTGCACATACATGTGCACACGGACCCGCACACGTTCCCGTGCGTGCATGCACGCGTGTACACATAGGTGTGGACCCATGCACGTATGTGTGCGTGCACGGACACACTCGCACATACATGTGTGTACATGTGGACCCACCTGTGCATGTGCCCCCACACACGTGTGCACCCACACACACGGGCTCAAGTTCTGCCCCCGTCTCCAAAATGAGCCTGAGCTGGCCGCGCCGGCGTGCCCTTTGGGGCACGAGCAAGGGGGGCCGGGTGATGTCACAGGCACAGGGCCCTGTGGCAGCGGGCTTCCGGTCACCCGCTGAGTGCTCCGGACTACCAGACGGACACATGCCAGTCCATCTGATCAAGGGGACAGCAGGCGTCAGATCCTGTGCAGGGCAGAGGCGGGAGGGGCCCGGGTAAAAGGAGCCGCACCCTAACACCCGTCAGGCTCAGGGCCTGTTACCACCCCTCTCGCACCGCACCTGCTCCCAGCGCCCGCTCAGGTCTCTGGACGGGAGGCAGGGGCCCCCACCTGGGGTCGGGAGGCGGCCGGGACGCAGCGCCAGCCCGGCCTTCCTCCGGGGACACAGGCCGCCAGCCTGCTGACGCGCACCCCCTCCGCCAACGACTCCGCTCCATCCAGGTGGCGGCTGGCCGCGGGAAGGGGACGGGACGCTCAGCTCGGTCTTGGGGGGGCAGGGCCAGGAACATTCAGAATCTGCATCCTGGCTTCTCGGGATGGCCCAGCCGCCTCTCGGGCTCCGTAGGCCCCGCAGGGACCGGGCGTCCACGTGCCGCTGCGACTCCAGGCTTGGAGCCCTGCGGTGAACGCATCGTGTGAGGGGTGGGCAGGGGTCACCCACCGGCCAGGTCTGTCGTGGGGTGGTGACAGCTGGGCCCACACCTCACAGAGAGGCCTCCGGGATCGTGAGCAGCAGGGGCGGCGGAGCGGTCTAGAGGAAGCTGGGGCCGGTGCCGTGACAGGTGACCGTGACCTTGGGTCAAAGGCTCCCAGAAGGCTGTGCACCTGGTTTGGCCGTCCACGGGGGGGGGGGGGGGGCCCGTGCAGAGGGAACCGGAAGGGTCTCTCCCACACGCGGGAACAGCCAACATCTTCCTTCCAGAGTGGACGGGTGGGGGCTGCACCCGAGCCACCTGCAGACGGGTGGCCACGCCTTCACTTCTGCCTCCTGACACTAAGACAGAAGGAGTCTGGACTCATCATGGCAGGCATGAGAAGCGGGTCCTCTTACTCCCTCCAGGCTTCTCCATACGGCTGGCGGGTGAACCCATAGGAGGAGGGTCTCGGTCAATGGGGCGGTGGCGGGGCCTCCAGCACACAAAAGGGCGGGGGCCAGGGACTGTGGACCAAGCCCTGCCACGTGGATGCATCCGTGCTGTGTAGACAGAGCCCACGTGGACGGGCCGTGCTGTGTAGATGGAGCCCCGGGCGGACAAGCCGTGCCGTGTGGATGAGCCCCACGTGCAGAGCCACACCTCTGGGTGTCTACACCACAAACTCTTCTGGGAGCTGGTCCTCCCTGCACAGGACCAGGGAGAGGCATTTCGAGGACCTCACTCCGCAGGGTCCCGGTGGTGCATGGTCCAGGCCGTGGCAGTGCGGATCTGCCTCTGGGATCTGCAGGGGACAGTGTGAGTGCGTCTGCCTTCCCGCCCTGCCTCCTTGTCCTTGTCCACCCCTCCAATTCTGTCCTGCCCGCCCTGTCCTCCCTGCACCCTGCTGGCCCACTGTCAGCACAGCCTGGACAGGAGGGGACTCCCAATCCCTTGTGTCTGCCGCGGGCGCGAGCCCCTTGGGCAGGGGTGGGGCACAGGCAGTGGCCCCTCTGTTCTCAGCCAGGGCAGCTCAGGGAGGGAGTGGCTCCTTCTGCGTGGGCCCTCCCCCTCCTCTCCTGTCCTGAGGAGGCTCCTACAGGAAGGGCTTGGGTCCCCCTCCGGGGACCTGACATGGAGCCCACACCCATCCCGAGGGGACTGGGGGCTACGTGACAACTGGGGCGGGACACAGCCCTGAGCTGTTTTCTTGGTTTGAACTCATCAGACCTGGTTATTATTTGATAGATCTTAGGAAGATCCAGAAGCATCCACAGAAGTCAAGAACAGCCTCCCCCATCTCACGTGTGAGGAAGCTTGTCCAGTGCCCAGGCTCTGAGGTGGCCGCTCCGGGTCCCGTCCAGGTCAGGGCCCAGCTAGGGGCCACCACGCTGAACTACCACAGCCATGCAGGGAGGAAGCTGGGGCCCGTGCCGTGACAAGTGACCGTGACCTTGCGTCAAAGCAGCAGACGGCCACGCGGGACCCCTGCATCCAGGCCAATCATCGCCTTTTGTGGGCACGTCCCGTCCATCATCTCTGGGCCCAGCCAGCCACCTGCCCAGGGCACTGTGGCGCCTGCCCCATCCCTGGGTCTAGTCTGTCCCTCCCTGGGAGTCACGTCACAGCCTGATATTCTCTCTGTCCAGGGCGCCACCCCCAGGTCATCTCTGAGCCAGGAGGGGAGCCCCCAGACTACCCCGGAACCACTGCCCTCTGCCCCTCCTCCTACCCCTGGGGGCCTGGAGCGGCCCCTCAAGCCCTCACCACCCAGGGAGGGTGGACTCTGCCATCCAGCGAGCACCCAGCCAGGAAGGCGGGGTCCCTGGGGAGCCAGCGCCCCCCCCCCCCCCGCCGCCTTGTTCCCCCAGAAGCCTGCCCTCCCCGCCCCCACTGAGGTCGGGGGCTCTCTAACTGGAGGCCTGCGGTGGGCCTGGGCGGGCCAGGAAAACAGGTGCAGGAGCCCAACATGGACCCACCCGAGGACATACCTGGTGCAGGGCCTCCGCGCTGCGGCCCCACGTCCTGATCAGCCCGACCTGCA